GTCCCATCTTGTCACAGAGTAAGCATAAATCAAAGGACTTATTTCTCTGGCCAATCAGAAGAATCTACTTCCCTGGCCACAGTATGAGGTTCAAAGGTATGCACTTGCCCAGTCAAAGTCAGTGACATGCAAAGAGACTTTAAAACTTTCTCCACCCATCCTCATGGGATTTGAATTTGGAATCAAGTAGCAGCCAAGTTGGTACTGGGACGAAGCAATGTGAATGGCAAAGCCAAGAGCTAGCACAGAAGTGCACTTGGTGCTTTGAATGCAGCTAAGCCAGGAGCCATTATTTTCTATGGGATTTTCAGATGCATCTGGCTACATGTCCCCTTTATCTTTCGGGATTTGTGGTTGGATTTCCTGTCTTTTGTAGTAGTAGGAGTTTGCTTGTTTTTCTGCTATACAACATCATGCCTATAGTAAATAATACTGCACTTTAAAATTTGTTGAGAGTAAATCTCATGTTAAATGCTCTTACCACAAAACAATAATAAAAAAAAAAGATGGTTAGACAATACAGGGTGGGGGACAAGGGGGTGGGAGTTGGCCTCTTGCTTCACCTCTGAGCAGCAGGGGAAAGTTCTTTAATGAATAAGCTATTCTGTGAAACAGGTAAGGTGGTGGTTTAATGTTTTGCCTTAATTGGCAAATGTCCATAGCTATTAGAAAGTGTATTTTGTTTACATCCTCAGACTAAAGAGGAAACTTTTTATTTTCTCTTTCCATATCTAATATATAGGGAGAAGACTTTATTCTGAGACAATATGAATTCTTTACATTTAAGTACCAGAAACACAAGATATAAAATTACAACCTCTAAACTTCTCTGTTTATACTCACCTTCCTTATGCTCAGAGAGGTATTAATGGGGGAGACTAAGGGGATATGATGGTGCAAAAAGCTTGGCCCCTTTAAAACTTAGCTTTTGGGAACTACAAATATATTTTGCATTCTTATGATTAGTAGAGGCTTTGCATCTTTAAGATAATAAACACAAGGGGTGGGGAATAAATAAATATTGTCTTAAAAAGGTAATAAATACAGAGATCAGTTGAAGAATAAACATCTTGAGCTCTAGTCCTTCAAACATGACCCCCTTATGTGTGTCTGTCTGTCTGTCTCTCTCTGGTATACTTTGGTGGGGAATGATGTTGCTAATATTCCTAGCTGAAAATTTCCATATATTTTGTATTTTTTTGTAGGTATTTCAATCAAAGACAAAGAACAGTAAAATTATTCCTAGATTTTTTCCATTACAATGACATCTTACTTAGTGATTTTTGAGTGACTATTTTCATGCCAAAAGTTACAAAATAATTTTCACTTCAAAGAATCTTTCTAATTCTCCTCTTTTTATTTTTTTTAATTTTTAAAAAGACTTCATTTATTTATTTTAAAGAAAAAGAGAGAACAAACAGGGAGAGGGATGGAGGAGAGGGAGAAGCAGAATCCCTGCTGATCAGGGAGCCTGATGTGGGGCTTGATCCCAGGACCCCAGGATCATGACCTGAGCCGAAGGTAGAGGCTTAACCAAGTGAGCCACCCAGGTGCCCCCCAATTCTCCTCTTTTGTTATAGACCTTGTCAAAATGCATATTCTTATAATTTATTATTTTTATTCTCCAAAAATTCTTATTTACTATGTGCAACATTCATAGAAAGGTAATTAGGGAATCAAACATATAAATACAGAAACATAAAGAGAAGTAAAAAGAAAGCTCCACTGTCAGCTAAAGAAGAGAGATTTCTAGCAATCCACAAACCCATTGCTATTGGCTCTCAGTTGAAACTCATGGTTGGAACAAACCACATGTCACATATCCAAATAGACAAATGGTCAACTCATTAAAGAGGTCTTAGTGGTTCTTAGTGCTTTCACAGAGGTGTTTTTGTGGGAATATGAATCCTGCCATGGTGAACATGTACATCAATACTGTGGGGACAAGGATTGTAGGAAAACCTCTTCAGTTATGAGAACACGGAACTAAGAAAAGCATATTAAATAGACTAAGAAAAATACCGCTGGAGTCTATCATCTTCAAAAAAACCCATCAAGTCATGATGTGGAATGGAGATATTTGTGATATAACAGACAAACCAAGACATATGATGGTAAAATTAAAATGTAGAGTCAGATTTTCCTCATGCTGTTATTGTACATATGCTAGAGCTTCACTTCTGTCAATATATTCTTGGGGTTGAATTTCCAGTGATATGTAGAATCTTAGATACAATAAATGAAAATGGACTTTTTTCTCTTCCCAAATAAAAATAAATTTAAGAGAAAGAGAAAAATCATTGAAAGTCATGATGTCTTCTATCTTCTATGACCATATGCCTCATTATAGAGTTTTCAGCCACTGAACCCCATCTAAAGAATTGTATAAAAGGAATCTCAACCACTCTGTAAATATATATGTATATATAAGAAATTATCAATCAACTTCTAAGGCAGATACTTGTCTCATTTTTTTTTTCATTTTTATTGTGTCTAATGAAATGATTGTGTTTTTTCTTTGCTTAGGTGATGTGATTCCAAACTAAGTTTCATTCAAACTAATTTTCATTTTTAAAAAAGTGCATCTTGCACCTTTTAGATATTCTAACATTTATGTAAAATATAATCTGAAATACACAATAAACAGATATTTGAATACATAAACTTTTTTTTTTAAAGATTTTATTTATTTATTTGACAGAGACACAGCAAGAGAGGGAACACAAGCAGGGGGAGTGGGAGAGGCAGAAGCAGGCTTCCCGCGGAGCAGGGAGCCCTATGTGGGGCTCAATCCCAGGACCCTGGGACCACGACCCGAGCCGAAGGCAGACGCTTATCGACTGAGCCACCCAGGTGCCCCTTGAATACATAAACTTTTAAAACATTTCTTAGCAGACCAATATTTTCAAGTTTAAAAGATTATAAACTGAAATCAAAATTTATTTTTCTTACCTTTCTGGATATGTAAGTGACTGTAACATGATACGCTGGATTTTGTATCTGCCTGTGATAAATTGCCAATGTGAGCTCTGAGAATATGCCAAACCAATGCTTGAAATATTTACAACATCATTTAAAAATTGAGCAAGAATCTTGACTTCTTGGAGCTCATTAAATGATCTGTTCTTCCTAAAGAGAGAATTTAATATGCTCAGCATATTAGTAAAATATAATTTAACTCTAAAGTCAATGTAATGTTAACAATGCAGGATAGAAAGAATAAACTTAAAGGAAAAAGGCCAAACAATAACATATTTGTTAAAGTATTTATTAAAATAGGGGCGCCTGGGTGGCTCAGTTGGTTAAGAGACTGCCTTCGGCTCAGGTCATGATCCTAGAGTCCCTGGATCGAGTCCCGCATCGGGCTCCCTGCTCGGCAGGAAGTCTGCTTCTCCCTCTGACCCTCCCCCCTCTCATGTGCTCTCTCTCATT